AGAAATAGGAATTTCATGTCTCCTTTCCATCCCTCCCACTGCATGCTTCTTTCTCCCAACACATCATTATTAACAGACCCTGATGGGAGAATGCAATGTTAACTAACCGAATTAAATACAGAAAAGGCTGGAAACCATCAAGAAAGGCTTGCTGGCAATGAGCATTCCCAGCTAGCAGAGTCCTTTCTGTTCACTAACTAGCTGGCTTTCTGTGGCCATCAAGCTGGGCATTTACGACATCTGATCAACTTGGAGCTTCTAGAAGGGTGTGGACATCAACATAGGAAAGTGTCTACTGAATTTTTATTTTCACTTCCCCAAACCAACCTACCATGAAGCAGAGAGGACCTGTTTTCTCATATCATCACGTCTGATTGATATGCTAAACTTCATCCAAATTCAAACAGGCACACCCTGGTGAGATTTACACTTTCTTCTTTAGTAATTTACTGCTTCCTTCTCCTGTAAATCTGGTAAACCAAATAACAATGGAGTGAGGGGAGAGAAGGAATTGTTCTCATCTTTAAAATAAGAAACACCATGTTTTGGCATAAAGCAGGGTGAACTTGCTACTGTAAACATCAGCAATCCTGTCACAGACAGCTGTGTGCTGGTGGCCCCCCACCCCGGGAAATGTGTACACAGTTGAGACGTACACACTGGACTCAGGCAGCAACAATGGAGAATAGGACCTGGAGGTCTTTTCCCAGGTTTTATCTGTAGCAGGCATCAATGTCTAATATAGTAAGTCAGCTACCAAGTTCTCCCAGAAAGAGTCTGGCTTCCTCTGTTTGTATGGAATTTCCTCCATTGTGTGGCTGAAGAGAGATCCAAGTCCACAAAGAGCAACAGTATGGGACTGGATTAATGTCACCTGTCGTTCCTTGTCTGCTCTACTTCTGGGGAATAACACACTTCAAGCAATACAAAACAATTCCAAACAACTTGAGAGCAATAGCTGTTAATTCCCAAAGATTTTTTCATTAAAAGGTAGACTTATGTATTATTTAAAAATGATAAGAAAAAGTTGTGCACTTTACTGATGCCTTCAAAGCTAAGTTGACTACCTCACCATGAAAAAGTTGTTTCAGAAACGATTTCGAACACGATTTTAAGATGTATAAATGTTGTTATTGTTTCTGGAGGTTGAAAACAGACATTTGGAATTTTTGCACTGAAAAATATTAGAAAACAGCTTGGGTTTTATAAACTTATTTGAAAATAATATGGCAGTGTTATAAAAACATAATAGAAATTGGAAGCTATAGATTATTGAAGCATAAAGTCACTGATGTTAGAGCCAGAGATTCTAAAGATAATCTAGCCCAGTGGTTCTCCAAACTGAGGGTGCATCAGGATCCCATGGAGGGCTTGTTAAAGCGCCCCTTGCTGGGCCTCACCTTCAGAGTTTCTCATACAGTAGGTTTTGGATGGGGGCTGAGAATTTGCATTTTTAATGAATTCTCAAGTGATGCCGATGCTGCTGATCTGAGGACTACATTTTGAGACTCTCTGGTTTGGTGCTGTCTCATTATACACTTGAGGCAGCTGAGTCCTGAAGAAGTCAAATGTCTGAGCCTCTTCTTAGGCCTGTTCCCGTCTAGGGTAAACCTTCCACTTGAGTACGAGGTACTACCCACTCTCAAGGACACCACTGTTTTAATAGTTATCCCTTCTCCTGGCGTCAACATCTCCTGGTATAAATTCTTTAGTTAATTATGTTAGCCTATAAACATGCTGTGATAGTGTCCTTCTTAAGGAGACAGAATGGACTCACATTGCACTCTGCCATGCCCTACAGAAAAATCTCCCCAGAAGGCTGTCTAGTCATTGTTCCACTCCTCTCCTTCCAGTCTCTTGAACTCACTCGAATCGGGCTCTCATTCCAATTATTTTCTTGAAACTGTTCTTGCTCAGGTCACTAGTAACCTTCATATTGCCAAACACAGTGGTCAATTCTCAGGTCTGTCTTGCTTCTCCACCAGCCGCACAGTTGATTGCTTTCTCCTTGAAACTCCCGCCTTCATGGGCTTTGGGATACTGCTCTCTTGATTTTCCTAGCTCACCAGCCACTCCTTTTCAGTCATCTTTGTTGATTCTTTCTCTTTACTTTATCTCTAAACATTGGAGTTCCCCAGGGCTCTATCCTTAGATCTCTTCTTTATCTGTACTCCAGGTGATACCATTCAGGAATACTGTCTCTGTAGTGATCATTTGCAAATTTATGTCTCCAGCTGAATTTCTTCTCCTAAACTCCCAATTTGCACACAGGCAGTTCTTGCTTCATGCAGTAGTGTGGGGCCATAAAAATGACTGTGCAAACTGAGACAGCTCAAAGTGTTCTTAATAATTCGCAATAAAAATTTTGATTGTTGCAGGACTTAAAATTTTGTCAAAATATTAGGCTGTTACTGTTGGTTGTAAACATATGAGGTAATGAAAAAATAAAAAGTAGTATTTTAAAACTAATATTTACTTAGTTTAGTACACTGATTTAAAACATTAGAAACATTGAGAAAGTGTTTCATTTATTTGTAAAACACTTATCAGGACTACTTTGAACAGTGCTTGCCTTTTTGTCATATAACTTTCAATATGGAGTAAGCATCAATTCTACACCTTGGCAAATTATCATATTTCTTTCTAAGTTTGGATCAGCTTCCAACATTTTAGCCTTTGTGCTTTAGATGTTGTGACATATCTCTAAGAGTTATTTTAATGTGAAAGATTTTGCCTGAATCACTTGCTCTGACATATTCCTCTGGAGCATCTTCGTCTTTTTCCTACAACAACTTTCCTCCTTTATGTCTATAAACTCACCTTCACGAAGTGCTTGTGACTACATTCTAGTGTCTTAAACAGTGGCAGTGTCAACATTCCTGGGGCAGCTATTTCTTCTATAACTCCATTTATATTTGATTTGAATTTTACTTTTAGTGTTGTCATGTTTTTCCTTGCTGCCCTTTCATCTTTGTGGACCGGTTTCTTCTTTTGATAATCCATTTTTGTGGAATGTCATGTGGGCTTATTACTGAGAGACAGGAGACAACACAGTGACACATTTTGCTGTGTGTGAACTGAATAATAGACGTACCAGTGACCAGCTGGTGATCAATCAGTCAGGCAGACTCTGAAAGAAGTGACATGGTTGGTCACTAATGATAGTATACATCTGTTATATACAGAGTGATTTGTGGATGGGAGAAACAGTGAAACTGTACTTTATGCGATTATTCAGTTACTATAATGTGGCAAATGCAATTTGAATCATATTTTTGGAGGACTGGTGTTATTTAACTAAACCTGGGTAACTGAAGTTTGTGCGTGTTGGAATCTTGCAAAGAGAGGACTGCCTACAGCCAACTGCCCATTTGACATCATCACTTGGGTGTTTAATAAATAGCTCACACTTAACATGCCCTAAGCTGAACTTTTAAGTTTTTCAACCTCAAACCTGCAGTTCTCTTTGTGTTAAATGACAACTCCATTCTTCTAGTTGTTTGGGTCAAAAATCTTAGAGTCATTTTTGATTTCCCATTTTCTATTAGAGAACATATCCAATCCATCAACTAATCTTGCCCACTCTATGTTCAAAATATAATTAGAATCTTACCATTTCTTGCTGCTATCATTCTCATCAGGGCCATCATTATCTTCCACTTACCTTCCTAAGTGGCCTGCTCACTTCTACACTAGGACACCTATATCTATTCTCCATGGCAATAAGAATGATCCTTTAAAAATGTGAGTTGAGGCCGGGCGCGGTGGCTCAAGCCTGTAATCCCAGCACTTTGGGAGGCCGAGACGGGCGGATCACGAGGTCAGGAGATCGAGACCATCCTGGCTAACACGGTGAAACCCCGTCTCTACTAAAAATACAAAAAACTAGCCGGGCGAGGTGGCGGGCGCCTGTAGTCCCAGCTACTCCGGAGGCTGAGGCAGGAGAATGGCGTAAACCCGGGAGGCGGAGCTTGCAGTGAGCTGAGATCCGGCCACTGCAGTCCAGCCCGGGCTACAGAGCAAGACTCCGTCTCAAAAAAAAAAAAAAAAAAAAAAATGTGAGTTGAGTACATGACTCCTCGTCTCAAAATCCTTCTATAGCTTCCTGTTTTAATTACAGTAAAGCTCTAAGTTTTACAATGGTCTCCAAGGCCCTATATCATCTCACCCTAGGCTACCTCTCTGACATCCCCTCCTTTCACATCCCCCTGCCCACTCTACTCTCACTGCACTGGCCTCCTCACTCTTCCCTGAATGGGGCAAGCATTACTTTCCCTCAAGGTCTTGCCAGTTGTTTTTAGCACATGTGGTATGTTTCTTCCCCATCTGTCTATGTGGCTCATTCCCTCCCTTCTTCTATGTCTCTGTACAAATTTATTTTATAATCATGCTATAGAAAATTGTGATACCCATCTTTCCACTTCTCATCTGGGAACCCTTTATTCCCTTATACTGTTTTGTTTTTTTCCACAGCTTCTGTCACCATTCAACATATTACATATTTACTTGTATACTTCCCCTGCAAGATTGTAAGTGTCATGAGGGCAGAGACTTACTCTGTTTTGTTCAGAGCTTAATCTCCAGAGCTTAAAATAGTACCTGGATCACAGAGGGTCCTCAACAAATATTTGTTAAATGAATGGAAGATGGATATTGCTGGTTTGTGGCAATTATGAAGAACCATGTTTCCAAATATGGCTTCTGCCAAAGCAGACCTGGTAACTGGAATGATAAGCAGGGCAATGACTTTAGTGCTTTGCTTGGTTCTGATTGGGGATACACGGCTGTCATAGAAGTGTAAAATTTATTGAAAACTTTCTTGTAGAAGTTAATTTTTACCTACAAAGCATACACATCTTGTCTGAGAACTTGTTCTAGTGGTCATTTTGCCATCAACTTTAACTTATTAAATCTAAAAATGTTTTTTCTTTGTATAGATAAATTAAAGCAATTAAAAAAAAATGGTATGTCTATTTTTTGTTTTCATTTATTTGTTTTAGAATGACGGGGAAAATGGAAGGAGAAAAAAAAACAATGCTAAAAAGCCTGGAGATGACCACATATGAAAGGACCATGTGTGCAAAGGACTGCTGGAAAATGAATCAGGTAGGAACCAGGAAATATGGTGTTGAGTTGGATTGACCTTCCTTTGGAGAATCTACCAGACACCTCTTATATTTTCTGGGAGGAGTCCCCTTTTTACTCCAGCCATTGCTGGGGTTGCCAGTTACATGTAGGTATAACTTGACAATGCCTCACTTTACATTCACTGTTTCTTACTTTCTTCCCCAGAGTTTCTCCCTTCACTAAGTAGGATACCTGTAGAAATGAATGTGGGCATTCTGGAGCATATGCAAACCTGCAGATGTGAGGGCAATCCTTTGTCAATGGGGTCTGGGAACTGGAAGATAAATGTTTCTCTCTCTCAACTCCTGGGTGAATAATTCTGAGATGTAGCCTTTCTTTTTTTTTTTTTTGAGATGGAGTCTCGCTCTGTCGCCCAGGCTGGAGTGCAGTGGCTGGATCTCAGCTCACTGCAAGCTCCGCCTCCCGGGTTCACGCCATTCTCCTGCCTCAGCCTCCGGAGTAGCTGGGACTACAGGCGCCCGCCACCTCGCCCGGCTAGTTTTTTGTATTTTTTTTAGTAGAGACGGGGTTTCGCCGTGTTAGCCAGGATGGTCTCGATCTCCTGACCTCATGATCCGCCCGTCTCGGCCTCCCAAAGTGCTGGGATTACAGGCTTGAGCCACCGCGCCCGGCCGATGTATCCTTTCTTGTCCTCTTAGAGGATCCCAGAGGAATCAAGCCTCAGTTGCCCACAGTGGTGAGGAACTAGATTGGGTTGTGCTTCCCTCTTCCTTTTTTTATTCTTCTCAGTCTCTCCCCGCAGCTCTTTGGGATCATACCTCAAAGTAGAGCACCTGTACACCGGACTTTGTCATAGGTTCTGCTTTTGTGGGGAGCCTAGGCTAAGACAGGAGTCAAACAGAAGACATTTTTTGGAAAACTTTTGTGTTAATTGCAACTTTCTATAAATACACTTACCCTGAGATGCTCTCTCCTTGCTGAAAGACCTCCATTAGTTCTTTATGGGCTGAGTAATAAAGACTTAGATCCTTAAAGCAAGACACTTTACACTGTCACCCTATCTACCTCTTGAACAACTATAAACCAGTGCTTTAATTTCTCCCAAATACACGATTCACATTTTTGCCTTGTGTATGTGTTTCTCCCAAGGATTAACTCATATATCCTCCTGGAAGCCTTCCTCAACAATTTAGCATGTAACATTCCTGCCTCCTATGCACCCTTGCTACCCTTTTTGTTTGGATTGCTTATTTGGTATGTATGCCATGTTGTCACAAATTATTATTTATCTCTTTATTTATATGTTCTGACTAAACTTCATTATAATCATCTGTGGGAATAGATTGTATCTTATAATTCAATATCTCCAGCGGTACCTCACACAATGCCCTGAACAATAAATGCTACCCGTGCTGAGACTGACATTGTGGTGACATGATCTAAACCAGTGTTTATCAAAATGTATTCATGGGGTATTAATAGGCATTATAAGAACAAAAGTGTTTTATGTTCAATTAACTTGGGAAACCCTGGAAGACTTCTTTGAATCTTTAAATTAACAAACCTTTGTTGCAAATCTCTAAGAGAAAAACACAATATGTAGTTTTTCCAAACTTGCTAAGATATAGACATTTTTTTCGTGAAGCATTTCCTTAGGCTAGTCTCCTGAAAGGCATGTTTAAACTACTTCTAAATATATTGATTGATAGACTACATAGAAATTCCTGGGATCTATGCAGAATGAGGGTATAGCAGGTAGAAGTAGCTCACAGAGAGAAATAATATATGGCATGAGAGAGGCTTATAATATACATGAAGAGAGAAAATATTCACATCCTAAAAATCACTAATGAACATTGATCAGGAATATCTGTTCCAATACCTCAAATATATTTTTGGCATGTACTTAAATTGCATATTTTTCTTTTTAAAATTTTTAATGTAATAAATTATATTAATAGATTTCTTAAAATTGGGAAATGTTGCTTTCTGGAATAAACTTTGCTTAGTTATAGAATATAACTATTTTAACACATTGCTAGATTTAATTTGTTAATATCTGGTTTCAGATTTTAATTATAAGCATTCTAGTTTTCTTATTGGAATATGTTTGTCAGGTTTTGGCATTAATATTATGATAGAACTGTAAATTGAGTTGGGAAGGCTTCTATTGTTGTTCCTTGACTTTAGAGACAACTCACCCACAAACATCCTGAATCTGGTACCATTTTTAATTGTAGAGCTTTTGTGTGTGTGTGTGTGTGTATGTGTGTGTGTGTATTTCAAATTCTGCAGCTGTTGGGTTGTTTAGGTGTTCTACTTATTTAGTTAATTTGGGGAATTTATATTTTGATAGAACATCATTTGTTTCCTTTAGATTTTAAAGTGTGTTATCATAAGAAAAGTGGTAGCGGGGAGGGGCTGAGATGACTGACTAGAAGCAGTTGCCACCAGAGGCTTCCACTGAGAGAATGAAAATGGCCAATGAATCCTGCACCGGCAACTGAGGTATCCAGATTCTCTCATTGGACTAGGCAGCGGATGCGACCCTTGGAGAGTGAGGAAAAGCAGGGTGGAGCAATGGCCCTCCCGGGACCACAGGGGAAGGGGAGCTCCCACCCCCAGCCAAGGGAGGGGGTGAGTGTGCTACCCCCCCCCCACAGGAAACCACATTTTTTCCACAGATCTGTGCAACCCACAGGTCAGGATATCTCCCCTGTGAGTCCATGCCACCAGGGCCTTGGGTCTCAAGCACAGAGCTGTGAAGATTCTTGGTGGCCACTTGACGGGAGGCTGCCTGAGACTACTGAGTTTCCAGTGGGAGGGTTGACCACTATCACTGCAGTTTCCTGCTGCCTAAGGTGACTGAGCTCCTGGGGAAAGGGGAAGGAGCCATCACTGCAGCTGCAGTCTGCCGTTTTTCCCCTGCTAGTGCTGGGGAGACTGGATGATTTGGACTCAGGAGGAATTCCCCATGGCACAGCACAGCAGCTATGGCAGATTGTGGCCAGACTGCCTCTCTAGGCTGGACCCTGACCCATCCCTTCTCGCTGGGCAGGGCCTCCCTGTGGGAACTTCAGCAACTGCAACCAGGGGTTTACAGACAGAACTCTGATCTCCCTGGGACAGAGCCCCAGGGAGGAGGGGCGGTCTCCACAGATGAGCAAACTTAGTCTTTCCCCCTGCTGGCTCTGAGGAATCCGGGCAGTCCTGATGAGTGGGATTCCCCACAGTGCAGTGCATACCCTCTGCCAAGGGGCAGCCAGAGTGCTTTGTTAAGGGATTTCCTGATCCTGTGCTTCCTGACTGGATGAGACCACTCCCCCACTCCCTGCCCACCCACAGGGGTTGCCAGGCACCTTATACAGGAGCATTTCTGCTGGCATCAGGTCAGTCCCCTTCTGGGACACAGCTCCCAAAGGAAGGAGCAGGCAGCCATCTTCGCTGTTCTGCAGCCTCCAGGGTTGATACCTCCAGGTATGGGAGGGACCCAGGCAAACAGGGTCTGGAGTGGACCCCTAGCAAACTGCAGAAGCCTTATGGAAGAAGGGCCTGACTGTTAAAAGAAAAACAAACAAACAGAAAACAACAACAACAACTGCATCAACAAAAAAGTCCCTCCAAAAACCCCATCCAAAGGTCAGCAGCCTCAAAGATTGAAGCTAGATGAACTCACAAAGATGAGAAAGAATCAATGAAAAAATGCTGAAAACTCAAGAAACTAGAGTGCCCCTTCTCCTCCAAATGATCGCAAGACCTCTCCAACAAGGGCATAGAACTGGGTTGAGGCTGAGATGAATTAATTGACAGAAGTAGACTTCAGAAGGTGAGTAATAACAAACTTTGCTGAGCTAAAGGCAGATGTTCTAACCCAATGCAAAGAAGCCAAGAACCATGATAAAACATTACAGGAGATGTTAACCAGAATAACTAGTTTAGAGAGGAACATAAATGACCTGATGGAGTTGAAAAGCACAACACAAAAGAACTTCACAATGCAACCACAGGTATCAATAGCCGAATACATCAAGTGGAGGAAAGCATTTGAGAGATTGAAGACTATCTTGCTGAAATAAGGCAGGCAGACAAGATTAGAGAGAAAAGAATGAAAAGGAATGAACAAAACCTCCGAGAACTATGGAATTATGTAAAAAGACCGAACCTATGAATGATTGAGGTACTTGAAAGAGATGGGGAGAAAGGAACCATGTTGGAAAACATACTTCAGGATATCATACAGGAGAAATTTCCCAACCTAGCAAGATAGGACAACATTCAAATTCAGGAAATCCAGAGAACCCCAGTAAGAGACTCCATGAGAGGATAAATCCCAAGACACATCATTATCAGATTTTCCAAGGTTAAAATGAAGGAAAAAATGATAAAGGCAGTCAGAGAGAAAGGCTATGTCACCTACAAAGGGAAACCCATCAGACTAACAGTTGACCTCTCAGTAGAAACCCTACAAGCCAGAAGAGATTGGGGGCCAATATTCAACATTCTTAAAAGAATTTCCAACCTAGAATTTCATATCCAGCCAAACTAAGTTTAATAAGTGAAGGAGAAATAAAATCCTTTTCAGACAAGCAAATGCTGAGGGAATTCTTCACCACTAGGCCTGCCTTGCAAGAGCTTCTGAAGGAAGCACTAAATATGGAAAGGAAAAGTCATTACCAGCCTACACTACAAAAATCATTACCAGTCTAACACTACAAAAACACATGGAAGAACAAAGACCAATGATACTGTGAAGCAATTACATCAACAAGTGTGCAAAATAACCAGCTAGCGTCATGATGACAGATCAAATTTACACATAACAGTATTAACCTTACATGTAAATGGGCTAAATGCCCCAATTAAAAGACACAGTACAGCAAGCTGGATAGAGTCAAGGCCTATTGGTGTGCTGTATTCAAGAGACCCATCTCATATACAAAGACACACACAAGCTCAAAATAAGGGATGTCGGAAAATTTACCAAGGAAATGGAAACACCAAGAAAATGGAAAGCAGAA